TGATAAATCTCCGGTCTCGGTTTAGTGCCTGGTATTAATGCTGTGATAAGCACGGGTGACATAGGCGGTTAACCTATGGCGTCATAAATCACCGTGAAACTACCATCGTAGACGACGCTGCATATTGTTGCGTGTTACTCGTCATCCAGTTAGTTTGATAGAACGTTGCAACAACAAATAGTATAAAAACACGATAGGTTTGCAAAATATAGGAAATGTAAGCAAATCACAACAAACAAAAACTAAACCGTTTTTATCTTACCAGGTAAAGCCTGCTAAGTTATTGGCTTTTTTTAAGAAACGACCTGGCCACAATTGATAGCTCAAAGAAGTGGATTATCACGTGGAAATTTATAGCAGCCAGATAACCTAAATAATGCTGATCCATCCAACGACGGTCAGGTTTATTGTGGTATATTTACGTTTAAATGTCCCGTATTTTGCGAGGAGAGCCCATTGCGTGTCAGAAGACGTTTTAAAAGATGTTTCTGCATTTCCACGCTTGACATTTTTTAAAAAGTAGTACTTTGCATTTGGAGTAATGATTGGCGCATTCATCTGCAAACTCGGTGACCTGAGTTCCATCCCTGTGCCAGGTGGAAAATATTCTCCCCTTGTACCCGATTAGAGCGGTTAAGGTACTTGCAGTGATGGATCTATAACACATTCCTGCGGAGGGAGCTGGTAGGAACGTTGGGTTGCTCGGTTAATGGCCAGGGTCAACGGCGGCGTGGTGTATTCCGCAAATATGCCCGACTTTAACACATCAATTATAACACAGCCATTAACGGCCTGCATTTCAATCATATACTTTTTTTGCTCAATTTTTATTGTCATACATTAACACGACCCTTCCACTCTCAGAACGTGTGTTGTGTTTATCATTACGACACTGTTTGATTGCGTCACGGCAGTGTATTTAAACGAGCCAGTTTAAATACCTTAACGGTGATCGTACAGTACTTGACGATGCAGAATGCGCGGAACACAAGAACATCTTCATCAGAATACTCTGAGCGAAAGGCATGCGAATTGGTGTTGAGCAATAAAGAAAGGTATTAATAAGTACAAAAATGTTTTTTTGTTGCTCCCGTTTGTGTTCTTGTCAGTGGCACAACGCTGCTCGTTGTAGCAGTCGTACGACTTTGTAAGCCGCTTGGTATCGGGGCAAACACACGTTGCGTTCGGTCGTTGAACTCCAGCAAGCGGCAGACGGTGTCGGTCAGGAGCAGGGAACCGTGTCCTTAATGAGGGTCCGAACAGGACTTCGAACTTGTATTCCTGGGCCGTGCACTTAACACACAGTAGCAGCAGCATTATCCAATAATAATGCAAAAAAGTAGCTTGCATGTCGAGGCCTTTGCAGTGACATGAGTGACCACGCGTGCTGACATTTCTAAAACGGTGTTGCCACGGTGAAAATATTTCCCTCCAATCCTCGACCAGTGCGGCTTCAGACTCTTTCACAAACTGTTACGTGGAATTTGCGGGTTGTTTCAAAGTGGCTTAAAGTTTGCGGACAGAGTAAGAGTATACCCCTGCCCCCACCCCATAGTCCAATGGTTTTCCACTCCTGATTGCAGAGGGGGGGGGAGACCTGTGTTGAACAGAGCCCCATTCCAAACACAGTTTTACATTATTGCCCCATAGCATGTGGTGAGATGGAACCACCCCAGCTTTGAAACATTTTTTGGCAGAGACTGCATGTCAATATTGCGTGAAGTATGCAGAGAGAGTGAATACAGGTGTCTCGGCTTCAACGTAGTCCGGTCATCTCCGTAAAGAATCTAATTCTAATCCACCGGCCCCAAGAGACATGCCTGGGATCGTTCTTCAGTGCCTAAATTAACGTACGCACATAAAATCCATCGGTGGAGTTTGAAGCAGATACATTGGTCTTGCCGAAGGCTATATTAAATTAGTCTTCCTTATGTACACGTTTGTTTCCCGCTTGATCATTTTTTTAATCCGAGCGTTTTTTAATCCCAACGAGCGACCAAGTTGTTCTCGTCTCTCCTTTGCAGTCCTGGAGCCTCCCAACAGATATTCCTGTGACAGGAACCAGTTGTTGATCCATTGCACAATTGGTGTTGATTCTCATACCCAAAGTAGTGCCAACTCAGCAAGTGGTACCTCATTTTACCATTCCTGGAGGAACGAATATGATTATGATGATATTGACTCTGGCCAGGAGTTCAACTCATAAGCTTTATTGGTAGGAACCCAGGTGTCTCTTCGTTGAGGCCATTGTTTATCAACAAACCCCTGCGTTTGTATTGTCCAGCAGGTCGTAACAACAAAATGCTTCCTTCGATGGCAGTTTATTTTTTGCGCGTTAAATTACCCCAATGTCCTTCGGTCAGTTTTATCCGACGGTTTGATTTGTAGATGTTCCTCGAGTGATATTATATCCACGCGCTTGTGCACGTATTGCACCCTAGACCTTGCTCTTAACATCCTTTTTTTGCTGGCAAGTTACAGGGGAGGCTTGTTTGTTGAATGCAGAAAAAATCCCACTCGCGTATGCTTGCAACTCGAATTGTGATCGCTCACGGATCGTTGATGAATAAAAATAGCAAAGATGCATCGAGTCTCGCGGCAGAAATTGTGTTCAGCAGATGACAGCGTCCTTCGCTTACAACGCTGTGAATTTTTTAAATACTTATAAAAGCTATCCACCGATTTCACAGACCAGTAAAACAGATTTTCTCTCCTTGCTAAAACCATAAACTTGGCGGCGGACACAAAGTGGAATGGGCGGTTTTTTTACCATGCCATTGCTTTGTGTCGTAAATTGGTAGTGTATATCTATATTTTTCGGTGTATTAAAACCTCTTTGTTACGTGGTTAATCACTTAATAAAACATTGTTTTAAGTTTCATCAAAAGCAAATACGACGCTTAAAAGTTGATGGAATTATGTTGCATCATTGGTGTTGTGATGTCTTGAGTGGACATATCATGGGACCTCCTTTGCCAGTACCAAAATATGATGATAGGTTTTCCTCCTATTTCTGGCTACAAAACAGGTGTTAAGTTGTTAAAACAGCAAACAACACCTTTTACAAGGAATCATGTCTGCATTAACCACAATATTAGTAGTGGTCAGAATGCAAACAAAAAACATACTCTGGTAATATATGCATTGTCCTTGAAACTGATTGGTCCACACCAGAGACAGCTTTCTTTTGGGAAAAGGGGAAAAACGTATTCTCATATTTTGGTACTGATGTAGATTCTCACCCCGAGCTCTCATTACTCTGATGGTGCGTTGTCTTTGAGCTGTACGCCTTTTGGCGTCCTCTGGTCTAACACCCTTTGAGACAAGGCTCAAAAGAAAGCTGTCTCTGGTGTGGACCAATCGGTTTCAAGGACAATGCATATATTATCAGAGTGTTTTTGTTTGCATTCTGACCACAAGTATTGTGGTTTATGCAGACATGATTCCTTGTAAAAGGTTTCAGTTTGGTGTTTTAACAACTTAACACAGCTGTTTTTGTTGCCAGAAAAAAAGGGGAAAAACTTATTGAGTTAACATGTCAATATTTATATTATTTTTGGTATAATCGTAAATTCTTAAAAGTACAATAGTAGTCGTGCTCAAAGCTTGTATTGGTACTGTAATCACCTTTATTTTTAGGTCATTTGCATAAAATATGAACATAAATAAATAAAATATATTGTCGGGGGAAAAAGTACCTTCAGGATATTTTCCAATTAATCTGTCATTGGCCTTTAAAACTAGGTAAGAGTCCATTGAGTCAGAACAATTTTTATGGTTTATAATTGATTTAATTTAAAAGCCAACTATTGTTATTCATGAACGTGCCTTTTTGAGATGGAGAATTTCCTGTCAGACCTGATCGTTTGTGACTGGCACTGGGTTCTCTACAGGACGCTGTCGTATTCAAAATCTGGGGGGGTGTGGAGGCGCATTGGTGAAGAATTTACATTTCTACTGGCGTCTCAGAGCCAGATTGTCATCTCTTGTTACTTAGTGGCCTGGCTGGTGGGGATTGATGAATTTCGAGTTTCAGGCCTTTGAGCCAATGTCTCATCTTGATTCAAACATGTTTTTGCCGGACTCTGTGGCAAACCTGGAGCACGCCTCGTGTTTGCAGGGTTTTCGGCAATGTCTCACCGCTTGGTTACAGCCGTGAGATTCCCCCGGTTTGATACGAATTGAAACCGCACGTGGAATTTCGGGAGCCCGTTTTTACAGGCGTGAGCGGGCTACATTGTTGTCGCGAACGTCGCCAAGATCGTCCGTTGGCGCTTCCACAGAGTTGTCACCCTCATCTGCCATTCGAGATGTTCAGCTCTATAAGAAAATCAAAAGTTGAGTAATAACATCAGAACTGAAGACCTATGCAGTGGCTTTACAATTCCCTTTTGACTGCAATTTGTGGTTTAACCATAGCGAGGCTACAGAGCTTTTTTGATGCTGTGGAGGTTTTATTTTATTGCCTTTTTAGGTCACGCAACTTTAGTCTCAATGCTCTTAGCACATTCAACTTTCTCATAATTTTTTGTTTCCCTAAGAAAGCTTCAAGGCTGTGCTTGGGATCTTTGGACAATTCCTTTTGTTTTGTTTGCATGTGAGAAGGAATCGCGACGCCCGGTTAAATCTTCGCGGATGCGAGAGGCGTTAACCCTTCAACGCATGTCGGCTCCATATCCACACCCAGCCTGGATCACTGGCTCCCATCTTCGCATGAGCCACCGCACCGAGGCTCCACTTTGCTCGACTGCAGATGTGCATTGTCCGCCACGTCTGCGATATGAATCGCAGCAGTGGCAGCAGCAGCAGCACAGCTGTTGCAGCTCCTAGGCGTTATACACGGCTGGACCAGACGGAGTTGTAACGTTTCGCACATCCCGGCAACGGGGGGCTGCACCTCCTGGACTTGGCCACTGTAGCCCACGCCGGCAGAACGCAGCATCCTTACAACGATCCGGCTCGTGCTGCGAGAGCCGCAGCTGGGTTTGGCGCGGCGATGGTTACACGCGGCTGTCCGCCACGGCGCTTGCGCTGACGGAGCCGCTTCGCGTGATGGCGGCGGCGGCGGCGTCTCCGCCTCGCTCTGGACCGGCGGGAAGCTGGCGCCCGTTGGGGGAGCGAGCGTTGCCGATGAGGCTTTGGAAGGAGTACGAGGAGCTGAATCCCGGCGTGGACGACGACGGCACGAGGCTGTCGCGCGCCGAGGCCAGCATGGACGCGTTGTGCGACGGCTCGCGGTTCATTCCGCGCGACGCCGCCGCAGCATTCTGCGGCGTCTTGAAGTTGCACGCGATGTACCTGGCGGAGAGGGTAAAAAAATTAACCCGTAAAAACAAAGTTTTTCACTATAAATCCTTTATATGCTTGGCGGCTAGAGTCCTCTCGTCCTCTGGCTTGAGATGGCTGCCACCTATGGGTCAGATGATTGCATAGCAGCATTAAGCAATCGGTAATTAAATATAATATTTTTTTCCTAAAAAGTGTAAAATTTTTGAATTTTTTTTTCACGAACATTAATTTGCATGCACAATGAGTCTGTGTGGAAAATGTCAGCTCGATTGGATCACGGGAAGTGGGTTAAAAAACGACCGAAAGATTTGCACGGTCCTAAGCGCGCAAGCAAGTGAACTTAATATAAAGGATTTAAAAATAAGAGGTGAATATGCAGCGCTGCAGTTTGCTTGGTCACGCCGCTGCCCGTGCAAGGGTCTCCTACGAGTGGGGGCTGCTCGAGATGGCCTTGGTCTACTCTTCCATGCTGGCCACGTATCTTTGAAAGGAGTGCCTGGGGAAATCCCATGCATTTGAGAGGAGCATGGATAAACTCCGCGAGGATTTTCTACTCCAAGCCTACTTGATATATACTGCCTGCTATACGGCACCTTATTCTCCAGCCATGTACGCGTTGCCTTTTATCACTGTTATTTTAAAATCTGATATTACCCCAGACTAATGAAAGAGTCCATGGGGTGAAAATAATGTGAGTGTTATTAAACATGTCCTTTCGATGTAATGGAAGCTGTATATTTAAATGTGCTCGTTCAATTGTTTTGATTAGGGAGATTGAAAATGTGTCTGAAAAAAGAAATAAATTATTGTAATTGTCTGACAATTACCACCAGATATGTGGTGAAGCTTACATTGCAAGGGGGAGTTGTCATTTAAATAATAATGGAACAGTTATTTTTTAATCTTTTAATCGTTTTCAATTTGGTTTATGATTTCATTAAATGATTTGAACTCCTCTTTCAACCAGGAATGCTCATTTTCTACCCGTGTATTTCTGTATTTCACGACCCAGCAAGTGGCCAGTGGCATTAATGAAGTAAAAAAAAAAACATTACACGATGTAGCCTCAGCCAGTGGCGTGACCAAGCAAACTGCAGCGCTGCATATTCACCTATTTTATTTTTTACCCTCTCCGCCAGGTGCCATCGCGTGCAACGTCAGTCTCTCCTAAAAAAAAAAACCCAGCTAGATCACCGTTTTCAATTATCTGGCTAAGGTGAAATGCATTCAGGCCACACAACACTCCGAGGAAATCCACAATACACTCCATTGAATCGGGGGTTCGGGGGGTCAATCACTCCACCCTCACTGCAGACGTTTACCCTCATGGCGCAAACATTGACGGACGTTACATTTTTTAAATTGCACTTTTCTTCCCGATCGAACGGCCAGGACCTGTTGTGAATTTTCATTGCCGTTTAGCTCGCCCGATGTGTTTTCTGTTAGTGCCGCGAGTCGTTCTGCACCGGTGTGCAGAGGGTGCCCGTGAGTTTCTTCTTGAGCATGATTTTGTGTTCGTGCTGAACGACGCGTCGCGAGCGGTAACCACAAACGGGAAAAAACGTGTCGGACAGCTGTGGAGCAAGACCGCGAAAAACCTTACGCTTTGCAAATCGGATCTTCAACTCGTAAATTATTGATGGCAATATTTAAATGCCGAGGTTGGGGGGTACGTACGTTGAACTTGTTTGGCACCGTACGTAGCCACCCGTGCCAATCCGAGGTGCGGTATCGACTTGGTGGAATGCTTTCGACTAGCAAGAAGAAGACCTTTCGAAACATGCGGGCGCGAAGAAAAAAGCACTTGCGGGAACGTCGCCGTCACGCAATCGCGGAAACGCACCTTGCGAAGGCCTGCCTGTACGTGCGGTTGAAGAGCGTGTAGACGAGCGGGTTGACTCCGGACGAGACGTACCCCACCCACACGAAGACGTCGAGCAGCGCCGCCATGGCGTGCCTGTTGCACGCGTCCGCTGGGCACAGGGCCGACAGCACGTTTGTGATGAAGAACGGGCACCACATCCCGACGAATAGCAGGAAGACTATGCCGAGCACCTTGGAAGCACGCTGCTCATTGGTTATCGCCTGCATCGTCCGCTTCTGCGAAGGCGTCACGCTCTTGCTCTTAGCACGTCCCGCCCTGTGCGGCAAGAGGGCGGTGTCGGGAGGAGCGGGGACCCCGTCGAGGGACGACAATGCGACGTAGGGCCCCCCGCCCGGGAGGCCGACGGCTTCGGGCGGTGTCGCGGACGTGAGCGAGGTCGCTCGGCCGCGGCCGTGGTTGTTGTTGCCTCCGCCGCTGCTGTAGCTGCTGTTGTAGCTGCTGGAGTTGGAGCAGCCGTTCATGCCCTCGCAGAGCAACGCCTGTTGCCTGAGCACGCGCGTCGTGGACACGTAGCTCGCCACCATGATGATGAGCGGCAGGAAGAAGGAGCTCAGAGAGCCGTAGATGATGAAGTCGGAGATGTTCATTTGGCAGCTGCCGTCCGTGTACACGTAGGCGAGGTCCTGCAGGCCCAGGACTGGCACCGGCATGGAAATGCCTGATGCGGGAGCGCAAAATGGGAGGCACTTAAAGGCCGCGTGCAATAATATAAAACGACACTTTTGTGAACAATTCTAGGGGCGCAGTGGAGCGAGCGGTGGTGGAAGTGCAGTGCGGACTGCGCTACCCGAGTTGAATTTGATCGATCACCATGATCAACGTGACTAACTGAAATGAACGGAGGCTTTCAGCCAGTAGTGGATTGATGAAGCGCTGTATAGCACACGTAGGATTGACCATATCGCAGTGCGTCTGAGCAAGCAAACTATGCCAACCTTCGTGAAACGCCGTTGGGGCTTAGCTCCTTGCTCCAGCTACTGTTTAAAACAAAACAACTAGTAGATGCTTCGGGCGGTGAAAACAATTAGCACCTGTTCACTTAGGTTTTTTCGGTAAAGTCACGTAGGCTTTACCTACGTGACTTTACCGAAAAAACCTAACAATATGAATCCTTGCAGTCACGAAAGCTTCAAATCTAGAATTAGCACTGTTGTTTAACTTAATATACCTTTCCCTAATTGTATGAAGAACACTTGGGAAATGTAAATGTTTCAAATCTTCTTGTCACTTATCAGGAGATGCTGTGCTCATGCAAGAGGTCCTATTAATCGCTGGGACAATGCAAGCCTTGTCATTTTATCAGCAGTAGTGCAAACTTACTTAAACTCACTGCATTTTTTTCATACCGTAATGAATGAGTGTGTGAATTAACTTTATCGCGGGAATATATTTAAATAACACGAGGCAGGCCAATATCTGATTTTTTCCTTTTTTCTTTTACTCTGTAAGGCCCACTGAGCTATGTAGCTCTTTTTCAGAAGCGACCTGCCACAAATGATTGTACCCACGACCTCCTGTCCACCAGGCGAGGTACCCGTGAGATGCGTAACACAGGCTGGACAAAGACATTAGGCGCCTGGGTGTAGCATCTACAAGGCGATGCTAGGCCGAGGCAGCCGTACGACTGCCTAGTCCGACTCGCCCGACATAGTGGTGTTCACTCAATTGCGCTGTGTTCAATTCGCACCCACCTTGTCAAAAAATGTGTTTCCTCGTACATTCATCGCGTTGCATCAAATTCGCGTTATGAAAATGCGGTGTCATCGGAGAACAAGCTGTATTTGAGTTCAGCGCTGATGCTTGGATGCGAGTGATTTGGGCCATGAATAACAAGACTACTTACCAACGGATATCACCCAGACGGCGAGGATTTTAAGCAAGGCTTTGGTCCGGGAGTTGAATCGACTGTGCTCTATCGGCTTCTTGATGGCGATGTAGCGGTCCAGGGAGATTGCGCACAGGTGCATGATGGACGCGGTAGAGAAAAGCACATCCAGGTAAATCCACACGGGGCACAGAGACAGTGGAAGTGGCCACTTGAACCCTGTGAGCAAAAGAATAGATGTGAATTAGGTCTAGATTTGAAGCTTTCGTGACTGCAAGGATTCATATTCTTAGGTTTTTTCTGTAAAGTCACGTAGGTAAAACATTAAAATTAATAAAAGTTAAATAAAATATCAAGTACTTGATACAGCTGTCGTAGCTGTGACGGTTCCACCTGAAGACGGAAGCTTGTGTTGCCTCCGAAACGTCGTGATTTTTATTTTATTTTACTTTTATTAATTTTCATTTTTTACCTACGTGACTTTACCGAAAAAACCTAAGAAGATGTGAATTAGGGCTGGCACGGTTGGGTGTGCCGTAGCTCTTTACAATCTTCACGAGGATATATTTTCCTTTTGTTATTTGAAAGTCATCGTTATTCTTGCATTTATGTTTACGCAAACATGGCATGCAGGTGAGACCAATGACAATAGACATGTTATTAACTTCTCTCTACTGGAGGAAGGGCCTCCACTAGATTGGACCTATTATTTGACCTGCTCGGCCGCAATGACCAGACATTTTGGAAGAGTGAGAATTACTTCACCTCGCCATACGTGATCTGCCGAATGACTGACTGTGGTGTGCCCATTCATACTGCTGGGTGGACGACGGTGCTGTGCATGACAATTACTGGCATCGTCTCCCCGCAACTTCACGTGGACCGCTGTTCAGTCTACCTTGTGTCGGCAAACCACAGCCGAGACGAATTGGCAGTTATTTTACACGCATCCATTGCGCGCACGCATTTCCATCAGCCTTAGGCGGCGGATAATTTTTATTTTTTTTGACTGCTGAAGAGGTCGAGGGGTCTAAGACGCTTCATTAAATGTCGGCGGCACGCTTTAATTGATTACGCGCTAATGGCACGATTTTGAACACGGAGCGCACGAACGCTCGCGGTGTACATCGGTAACGCCCGGAAGATCCATTGTGGGCCATGTTTGATTAAACTAGTACACAGATGGCTTTGCCTAATTAATGGATGGTGCCTGTTTGCTGGGGCACAGGAGAGTGACAGATATTATAATGGGGTGATCTCTCCAAAGCTGCGATGACTGCCTGGTATCGTAACCGCAGACCAACCCATTTTGCCCGTTGCACGACACCTAACAACGTTACCAGCCGCTCTATCCACAAAGATACCCTAATTTTAATTAATTTTCGAGTCACTCATTCTTGGTTGGGGCGCATTAAGGCTTTGCTAGTTGGAAGCACGCGCACATTTGTCCTTGGAAATTGCAAATGTCGCTGTGCTCTTTAAATAATTTGCACCGGTCCCGTGGCCTCATTCTCTTCGTTTGAAAATCAGTCCTGTGTTCTTGTGACATTATTGCACGGATTAGTTTTGTAGTGGGGCACTGCGAAGAAAAGACATCCCGTGTTGCCCTAAATTAACTGCCCGCAATAAATTACATTTCTCCTGAAACCAAACAGGACTCCCATCGCAAACCTGCTGCTTGTAACCTAACAGAAATGCCATGTTTGAAAGGATTTTAAACAATAAATAAATGAGAGCCACGAGCAGCAGTTAGGAAAATGAATTACTGTGCACGCCACGAGGTTGACTTGGAAAGACGCGAGAGGCGGTAGTTTCGTGCCTGCGGGAATTTGTGTACTTTGCGCGCACGCGTTTGCGAGCGTGCGCGCACGCGTCTGTGAGCGTGCGCGCGTGTGTGTGTGTGTGTGAGGAAATTTGCCTGTCCGATTCATTTACTGCACACACTGGGAAGCATAAATAACGGACGGTGCCTCTTGGCAGAGCAAAGCACTCGTGCTAAGAGCGTCCCTTTTAAGGTGTCGGCCGCATTACTTATTGCAGTTATGAGGCCGTTGGCCATGACTCCCGCGTAGAAATGTATGGCTGCATGGTGCGTGACAAGTGCCAGACCATCATTTTAGCAGAACCACGGATCTTTGCAAAAAAAAAACAACAACTCTATTTGAGGCTGTCTTAAAAATAAATGCCTCTCTTTTACACTTTCAAACTTTTGGTTGACAGAGTTGATGCATTAGCTTTGTCTTTCTGTCTCTGTAATCGGGGGAAGGGCATGACAATTCCCAGAGATAATCCAATATGAACAAAATTTAGCATGAAGTATTTTTGTCATTTGGGTCTTGTCCAAAAGAAAATTGGCCAAATTGTCAAAGAATTGGCCAAATTTGCCGTGCCAGTCAAGGCGGATGAGATAATTCATGTATCATCGTGATATAATGTAATTGTCATCTTCCAACATAGAGCTTTCTATAGTGGCCATCAGCCTTGGTTACTATACACACAATCCTCAAAAGGGATGCCGCATTTGCTGAGGTGTGTGTAAGCAGGGGGGCGGCGGGGGGGCGTAAGCGGCGGTGACAGCCTCACCGTATAGGATGTTGAGCAGCGAGATGGGCATGACTAGGATGCCCACCAGCATGTCGGCTACGGCGAGCGACATGAGAAAGTAGTTGGTGGCCGTCTGAAGCTTCTTCTCAAGCGACACGGCGAGGATGACCAAAACATTCCCGGCAATGGTCAGGAACACCACCACGAAGAGCAGCAGCACGGGCAGGTTCAGGTGGCCGGCGCCCTTGCGCAGATCCACGGAGATGTTGCCCCCGCTGCCGTTGACGACGGATGCGGTCTCCCCGGCCGTCGTGTCCAGCCAGCCCGCCGGCCGCTGCCTATCGGCGGACACGTTTACCAGCGCCTCCGGCTCGCCGCTCGCCTGCATGACTGCCGGCCGCCGTCCGCGCCGCCGATTTTATTTACGCTGCGCGGGGAAGCAAGCGCGCCTGTCCGAATCGCTGCGCCAGCGTGCCATTTGACGAGCGGGCGACGGTGCCCCCGTGGCTCTATTTTGACGGGGGGGGGGGGGTCTCGAATCGCGCTCGCAGTTTGAAGAATTTGGCCGTCAATGCAGTGCGTTGCCGCGTTGCCGAGACTAGGTTTTTGGAAACCTTACGTTTCCACTGATGTTATTTTTTTATTTTTTATTCTCATTGGGTAAGTTTGTTTTTTCATCATCACGCAGCGCATTTTAATTAGTATAAGCATTTGCGCTCAGCGGTCTCTCAAAAAGCTGTTCTCCGTGCGATTAATAAATGGTAGAGTAGCTGCCAAAAAGGGAATGTGTTTTTATTTTACGTGGAGAAAAGGGTTTTGGTGGGCAGAGGAGAAAAACATCATCTCGTAGCATTGGTGAGATGACAAAAGAAACCACGTACGTTGTGCGCGAGGGAGGAGAGGGGACTCATCTGAGACGGAACGATCCTGAGCGCTGCTTAATTGACGAGAGGGTTGTTGTTTACAAGGAGCGCTGCCATTTTATTTCACGCGGACGCTTTCTGACGTTGGTCTTCCTCAAGTGCGCGTTATTGTATCCAGTTGCAAGGGTGCCTGGGAGCACCGAATTAGCCTGAAGTGGGAGTTATTGACTGCCACCGTGGGCGGGGGCCGAGGAGGGGAGGTTATCCTTTACACAGACGGCAGAATCGGACGGAGTAATCTGCGGTCGCGAGCGGTCCCCCGTGCTGCTGACGCCGCCTGTCGAACGTCATCGGCGATCGCGTTTCGAAGGCCAGAGCGTCGCTGCAGAATCCTGAAAGGAGAACGAGATGAATGAACCGCTAACGCCCACTTCATGGTTCAGCTTCTAGTGCAGTGAAGAAAAGCGTCTTCGGCCCCAAGTCGATTCGCCACGTCGATTATACTCCACAACTGAGCACTGTGTGTAGGGGTCAATCCACGCTGCGCCGGGTCATGGGAGCTATTTCACCGTCCTTCGTGATGCCGATTGGTCAGGGTCTGTGGAGACGGGCTGCATAGAATGTGGGAGTAAAGAAGTGAAGTGCAAGCTCGTCTGTGCCGGGCAGTGAAGAGGCAGGGGGGGGCATAGGTATGAGAGCATTGAAGTACAGTACAGCAATGGAATTTGTTGGAGGCCCTCATCCAGCAGTTATTGATGAAAGGATTGTTGCGCACAGCGTACATTTTGGTTCATAGAACAAGCAAACGGACCATACTAGACGGACAATACAAACGGTACAGACAGGTGTGAATAATTACCGATTCTTCAATCGAACGATGCTCGTAAAAACAATTAAATCGTCGGGGGAGGTGGAGGGGTGAGGGGGTTGTCAACCGATGCGTTTATTGTCCATCCTAACTCGCGTAAACATCACGTTCACCTGGTCTGCGTGTGTATGCGAAAGTTTGGTGAATGCGGAATGTGGAATTGTGGCCGGCCGTGGAATTTTGTAGACTTCTGTGTCCAATCTACTTTACTGCTTCTCTGTGTGTTTTAACGAGCGGCGTATATTTCGCTCTTGACTTGCCTCGATGTAAACCTGGGTACAATTTTACACATCTATAGATTATTGTCGTTTTTTTAATCGTTCATTTTCACCTGCCGGTTGCTGGGAAATGACTTGAACGCTTTGAGCGGCGATATTGATGCGCGTGTGCGCTTAAAGCGTCTCCGAGATTAATTATTATCCAAATTACTTTTGGGATTGGTGCTGTACCAAAAAAAAAAGAGGGTAGCGGATCCCTTTTAAAAATCCGCTTAATCTGTAATTAAATGCAGAGGGGACCTTTTTTAATTGAAAGGACAAATACGCTTAAGCCTTCTTAAAATGCACCTGTTAAGAAAAAAAAGGGGCAACGGCACGCTTCACGTGGGAACGCTATGCACGTTTTAGAATCTGGTTAGCGGAAATTGTTCTTGTAACGACGGAGGATAATGTAAAGGAGCAGCCGAGCACACTGAATGGCTTTTGTCACGGTGTTTTTTCAATCGTTTAAGGGAGTAATGGTTAAAAGTTCACGGTGTTCTCAATATCTATTGTTCGCTTTAATACCTTGGGCTTAACCCTTTCCTGTCCTGAGACATCTGCACGTTGCCGGGTGTGCGGGTGGTGTCCAGTTGAACGCTGAATCTCGGAACGCGCAAGCGGCTTGGCGATGATTTTATTTGGCGAGGCGTAGTAGCACTGTCGTTTTTAATGATGTTGTGCTTACCACGGAGAACCATAGCGACACGACTGCAGCTCTGATAGCTGGCACCAAACTGCCACACGCCCTCCCGCATGGCCTTGTGGGAGCCACGCTACGTCTTCTGACCTGAAGACGTACTGATTAAGTTTTTATTTTAGTGTTTTTTCCTCTTCCGTTCCGATGACATACACGGCACATCAGAAGAAAACTGATGACGTACACTTACATCATCAGAATTGGAAAAGGTTAATAAGCTAGGATTCGCCAGTAAAGACGCTGCACACGCTTGTTAGAGAGCGACTTGGTGGTGGAGTATGCGATGACTGAGTCGTTACTTGTGTGACGGTGGCGAGATGTTAACTACCTCGCCTGGTATACAGGAGGTTGTGGGTTCGATCCCGGCCCTGACGCCTGTGTGTTTGGAGTTTGCATGTCTCTCTCTCCATGGTCGTGTGGATTTTTCTCCGGGGCCTCCGGTTTTTACCTCCATATTTAGAATCAACATGCATTTACAGTATAAATTTCCACGTGATAAGCCACTTCGTTGGGGTATCAGTTGTGGCCGGGTCGCTTCTGAAAAAGAGGTACAGCTCAGGGGGTGGCCTTACCTGGTAAAATAAAAAATTAGTATAGTTCAGTGTGAGACACCTACAAGATTGAGGCATGCTGTACTGCATAATGGCACTATTATAGAAGGCAGTACGCAAGGAGGTTTGACCTCGGTGCGAAGTATGTGTCTTCACCCCTTGTGTATGCACAAGCTTTCTCTGGATACTCTAATCTCTTCCACATACAGAGTCACTCGGACATTACTTTAAAGGAAGAAGTGAAGCAATAAGCTGGTGTCTCTTTTTTGCCAGGGATGCAACGATGCATTATTTTACCCATCGTCGCGATACATTCATCGAATCGCGCGCGTGAGAGTCATATTCGCGATGCGTACATCGTATAAAGTAGGTTCGTACTGCCACTGGAGGGCCGCTGGCATTCATCACGACCCCGGGTTGTGACAATCGGTGGACTTGCGAGGCGGTGCGATCAGTTACGCCTGCGTCCAAAGGGATGCGCGACGCAACATTTGAAGCGTCAGTAGTGAAATAAACCGACATCCAGGCGTCCCTTTAATTATCTGTATTTTTAAATCCTTTATATTAAGTTCGCTTGCTTGCTTACGACCGTGCAAATCTTTCGGTCGTTTTTTAACCCACTTCCCGTGATCCAATCGAGCTGACATTTTGCACACAGACTCGTTGTGCGAGACAATTAATGTTCGTGAAAATTTTTTCAAAAATTTTACACTGTTTAGGGAAAACAAATTAAATATTTAATTACCAATTGCTTAATACTGGCAGACAATCATCTGACCCATAGGTGGCAGCCATCTCAAGCCAGAGGACGAGAGGACTCTAGCCGCCACGCATATAAAGGATTTATAGTGAAAAACTTTGTTTTTACGGGTTATACTTATTAAATCTCACACTTGTAGCACACATCCCAGGACAAGCAAACGAGTTGTGGGACTGGCGAATTCCCCGAAGATGATGCTGGATGTAATTACCAGCGAAACGTCGTACTCAAAAATTGTAAATGTTGTGGATTCACGCTTCAACACACCGGTGGGCTAAAGTAGTGAACTATTTTTCTTTTGTCAACGTGACACTTTTTTGCTGATTGGCCGTGTCGGGTGGTGGAGGGTTACGACACATTTATAAATAATAACGTGATCTAACCCAAAAATGTTTATTATGAATAGTTGTGTAACTACATGATATTAGCTGGGGTTTTTTAAGGGATACATTTTAATAAAAAAAAACTCCAGAGTACTTGGAAAGTAATTCCCCATACTTGGTCATCGCGCACACCCAGCACCTCACATCCCAAGAGGCTGTTTTTTTCTTAGGTGTGCATACTCACACTTTACCCCACCGCAGACATTCTTTCTCGTAAGCTTCACTGCAAGTGTGCCAATATTTATTTCTTGAAACTGTTTCGGTTGATTACCCTACTATGTATATAAAATAGTGTTTATCGAATCGGTGCGCCGTGCGACCAAAGGCGACGCTTCCACGCCGAGCTCTCGGCAAAATGCGGCGCCGTGTGTACAACCCCTGAGTTCGGGAATGGCCTCTTGAAGATTACAACGCAGAACCACTTCTGCGTGACATCCACTTCAACGGTGCTTTGTTATCCACGCGTGAGGCACTTGCAGTAGATAAATGCCCTCTTCACGACGGCAAATTGGTTCCACAAAACCGGTCGTTAAGTGATCCGGTCGTTAAGCGAGTATAGGAAATACACGTTAAAGGCTTAATTCGTTCCCATAGCATTGAAGGTTATCCTTTTTCACTGGAAAAAACTTGATTTATAATATTAAAACAATGGATATTAATACGTAAAGATACTAACAACATTATAAACACATAATATTAAAAGAAACATAATCAGTGCATTTCTTACTATTTACTGTACCTACAACAGCCCGTCGTTAACAGGGGAATCGTCGGTCAGCGAACACATTGAGCTCTGTGAAGGTCTGTCGTTAAGCGATTAGTCGTTCACAGGGGTGCTTGTTAAGAGGTGTTTTACTGACATTTTCTCACTGCCCCTGCTGTAGAGATATATTGCTCCCATTATGATCGCAGCAATCGCATTTTTAATCTCAGACCTGCAAAAACCCTGCTACGGTCAAAGTCCAAATGTAACGTGATTGTTTATTCTATTTAGCGCATTCAGTGGGGGCTTTTGTCATGAACTTGCTACACTTGAGTACCCGGTTTCATCAGGGGTGGCTGAAACCTGGATTCGAACCCAAGATCTCAGCCGTGCCGGCAGGGTGCTCTCAACACGGCGTTTAACTCCCCCCCCCCCCCCCCCATGCCATGAGCCACCTGAAACCCCTCCCAAACGCGTACACGTGCACTTTTACCGGCAAGCATCGGAGGCGCGATCGCGAAGGCAGGAACTCGGGCCGACGAATGTCTTCGCCGAGACTCCGAATCGTACAACCGCCTCGAGAGAAACCTCAGTGTAATCCGCCGTCCGCGGCAGTCGTGACGACCCGGCGCAGAAACTGTTTTTTCGTGAGCATGCTGCAATTGTCTGCGCGTGTGCGTGCCTGCGTGTGTTTGCGTGCAGGACCCCGGAGCAGTGCCCGAGCGTGGTGTCCCTGCTGTCGGAGAGTTACAACCCCCACGTGCGCTATGGCGCCGCGCTCGCCCTTGGAATTTGCTGCGCGGGGACTGGGAATAAGGTACCCTGTGCCCCTGAGAGATTTCACCCAAACGCATTCCTTCTTCCCCGCACGCACGTTTGGTCAAGTGTTGTTTACTTGCCATTTTTGTGTGTGTGTACACGTGGCAGAAAAAAGAATGTGACGATTTATCGTCGCGTTCGATTTTTTTTTTTTTTGGGGAGCGACGATTTGATTTACTATTTCGCATTTCGTTTTATTTTTTTTGTCTCCTGGTGACTCATTTGTGTTGTTTAAGCTTGTGTCCTCGGTCTCGTTTTGTCTAAATTGTTCTATGGGCCCAAATACATCTGAGCATTTACTTTGTCGTCATCGCCATCCACGGTAAAAACCCACTCCTGGATGAAGGTATTCGCAAGCCTTTCGCCGACTCATCATCCTGCGGTGCAATAACCCAGTGAGCACCTGCACACGAGCCGATTTCATCGCTCCCGTCTACTCGTTGGACGTTCGTGCAGATGTTTAAATAATATATGTGCCTGGGCTCATGATTCGACACACGGATAATCAGCAAAATAATTAAATGATGACTCATGACGTGACTCGTGACATGTCCATTTGCTTTTTGACGTTATTTTTTCACAATGTGCAATGCGATTGTGACACGGATATTCTCTGCTGTGCATAATAGCACATTATCTATCCCATGTATATTAATATAACTAATGCATGGCTTTGGAGATAGACACCTCAGCCATGTGACCAGCGGTGTTGTTGTCGTCTAATTGAATTAACAATAGGCTGCCCACTAAAATTCACATTAAAGCCATTTTTCTTGAGTTCACCGCACACCACGTGTCTCCCACTGCAATTAATGGGCCAGCTATTCATCTCGGTGATTCCTTTATCTCTCGGTGCAATTACAGTATTAGATATCGACTGCATGTAATGGCGCTCTCCTGGTTATGAGTAACGAAATAAAGAACTAAAAACAGAGCCAAGACACACGTTTTGAAAATCGAGGTGGGCTCTGTGTAATCCTCAACTTTAGTGTGCGATTATTCAAATGCTGCACTTAGCCTCCTGCCGCTATAAATATTGCCATTTTTGGTAACGCTTAAGACGTCCCCGTTAAAACACAACGGAGCCCATGCAATCTAATTCAATTCCCTGTGCGATCTGCTCCGATAGACCGTTTGTGCACGGGTGGCGTGTCTTTTTTTGCGTGCGTTTTAGTTTTGTTGTCGTTCCACCGCATCTTAGAATTAGCACACTTGGCTTACGTACGGTGTGAAAGAAGTTCAACCTGCGTACGTACGTACGTACACACGGACCGTGCTCTTTCACGGCGCTTTTCCAGCAGCCGGTGGCCACTTTGGAAATTCGTGGCGAAATCGGGAATTCCCTCCTGCGGCAAAGAATGATTAACGCGCTCCCAGCCCTCTACTTCCTACTGGCTTGGCAGTGGCTGTTTGCGTTGGATTCCCCCCCCCCCATTCCCCCACCCCTTCCCGTGTTGTGATTTCATGCTGTTTAATCCCAGGGAGAATATGGCATTGGGGATTATTGGCGGCAATTAAAAAAAAGCCACGCAATCGGTAGCAATTAGCGAGAGGTGCCGTGCAGGTTTCACCGGGGATTTAAGGTTGGCTGTCTTGTCGGGAATTCGTTTGGGAATTTTGTCTCTGGAGGGTTTAAGTACGTCATAAATTCCTGTTGCCAGTAAAATGTCACGTAGGACACTTAACAGAGGGCGAGTGGAGGTGCTTGAGCTTATTTAAGAAGTAAACTCCGCCGCTAGGGAGACATTAAAATGCTCAGGTAAAAAGATAACGATGTGTGTTTACTGTTTACCTAATTGTGCAATGATTGCATTGATTATGCGTGTCATGTGTTCTGCCATTGACTTTTCCCGTAAAATTATTTGAAAAAAAATTTTATTTGAAAAAATAATTTGACAGTCAACTTATGTGATGGGAAATAGTTACTTTATTTAACGTCATCTGTTTTTTCGCGGTAATTATTCTTTCTCCTTTAACGCGGCAGTTCTGTTCTACATTGTTTAATTTCTAGATTTGAAGCTTTCGTGACTGCAAGGAATAATATTCTCAGGTTTTTTCGGTAAAGTCACGTAGGTAAAAAATTTCAATTAATAAAAGTAAAATAAAAATAACACAAAAATCACGACGTTTCGGAGGCAACACAAGCTTCCGTCTTCAGGTGGAACCGTCACAGCACGATAGCTGTATCTCACTTGATACAGCTATCATGCTCCGAAACGTCGTGATTTTTATTTTACTTTTATTAATTTTAATTTTTTACCTACGTGACTTTACCGAAAAAACCTAAGAATAAAAATGGTTTAATTTCCTTGCGTGTGATTGTATTCTGTCGTAATTTTGGAGAACCAAGTCGCTTGCAAGTGAGGACCATCCTGGTCTCTTGAGTTTCTCGCCTCGTTTAAACTGAAATGAAACCTTAAAGTATTTATGGGGGAGTAGTGAAAAACTTTGGAACACCAACCGTCAGAATAGTACTCAATCCGTCATTACATTCGATGTTAAAAGGAGGGCTAGAAAAGTCCAGATCTGAGGATGGTTTGGGAAGCGTTTGGGAAGGCCTGAGGAGTAGACGGGAGTATTAAACTGTTCCAGCTGCTATTCTTGGTTCTTTCGGTAAAGTCACGTAGAAGGGAAATAATAAAAATATCAAACAATAAAAAATTCTCACAACGTTTCGACTGCAACACAAGCAATCATCATCAGGTGTGAAATCCACAGCAAGAAAATAAAAAAAAAGTGAAATTTCAAATTTTCTTGCCGTGGCTTTCACACTTGATGATGATTGCTTGTGTTGCAGTCAGCGTCGTGATAATTTTTATTGTTTAATATTTTTATTATTTTATTATTTCCCTTCTACCTGACTTTACCGAAAGAAACAAGAATATGAATCCCTGCAGTCACGAAAGCTTTAAATCAAAATGTTCCAGCTCCATTAATATTTAAAATCAAAGCACCCCACATGGTTATTAGGGAAATGCGCGGAATACTGGAGGCGTGATACAGTTCACCAATCCTCTGCCGCCCACTGCTCCACCAACACTGTTTCTCTTTCTCGCTCTCCATTGTCTCCCCTCTCACCCCCCAACTAGGAAGCCATCACTCTGCTGGAACCCATGACGAACGACCCGGTTAACTACGTGCGACAGGGCGCGCTGATTGCCTCCGCTCTCATCCTCGTGCAGCAGACGGACGTCACCTGCCCCAAGGTATGGGACACGGATTTTTACAAAAAATGTATCAACCTTCTCCCACCACCGCCCTCGTCCATTATCATGACTCCCCTCCAACTACCACACTTCTCCCTCCTGCTGCCACTTCCGACTGGCCTGAAGGAGCATCGGGGCATCGTGGCTTCTGTGCCTCCAGTGGTGCTCCCCCAACGGGGGGCCCCTCCTCCCCACGGAATTAAAACTCACGGGCGTGCACACACGTGTGCAGGGAGAGGCGGGGTGTAGTACGTTATGGCACTGCACTTCAAGACTGGCATGCGAGAGCAGAGTTTTCGTGAACGCCTTGATGCTTCTGGTTGTAATCTCCAGTGAAACGCTGTGCGAAATTGTGACGCATTGCTTGCTTTCTAACATTCCTTCGGTTTGCTGATAAAGCAAAGTCAAGTGGCATGTTTGCCCCCACGTGACAACTTGAATTGATTGGCTCTGTTGGGTGGTGGAGGTGTATGGTAAAAAAAAAATTGCATTATACCTCCGATTAGCATGGTTGGCTTCGTACGGGGCAAAAGAAGTTCAATATACATGCAAAATGAACGACGAATAACAACATTGGCCGTGAAAGCCCATGCATAAATTTAACCCAGCAACTGGACTTCAGTTCCTGGCCACGGCTAACATCAGTGGCACGAGTGATATCTGAACCGGTCCTTTGCCTTCCCGACAACGATTCAGCCTTTAATGGGTGCCTGGAGCAGTGTGAAAAATCTCAGACCTTGGGAGACAAAGGCGGCCGAACGTGGTTCTGACCACACCCGCCTCATTCATTAACCATTCCGGCCTTAACAGGTGCTCGCTAACAACGCCTGTTCCCCCCCAACGGTCTGTTAACGGGCGACACACTTGATCTGTTGTCGTCGTCGTCGACATAATTAGGCGCCTTGAGGCATTAGTGGAAGGCATCTTACAAATAAAATGTCAATTATTCTTATTAATACAGGTACAATATTATGAAAAATCTGAATAGGTTTTACCCTCTCTGGTAATACAACAGGTGTTAAGAGGTTCAAATACCAAATAGTATTTGCGGTGAAGATGCAAGCAAACATGCTCTATGTGCATTGTCCTTGTACTGTTCGCCATTTGGTGTTCTCCGGTCTGACACTGGTGAGACGAGGCCATGAACAAGGCTATCTCTAGTGTAGGCCAATCAGTTCCACAGATAATGCCATATATTATCAGAGTATGTTTGTTTGCATGTTCACCACAAGTACGTGTGGTTAATGCAGACTTGATTCCTTGCAAAAGGTATCTCTTTGTTGTTTGAACATCTTTAACACCTGTTGCATTGCCAGAAAAGGTGAAACCTATTCTAATTTTTCATACTTTGATACTGGCAAAAGAAAGGTCCCATGATTCCTCGCCGTAACGCAAAACCACCGGCTGCTGTTGGCTCTGCACCTGGATGTGGACCGTACCCAAGTTGACTTAGCCCAAAGCGAGCACACCGTACACGCCGGTCAACATTAGTCACCCTAGACGGCCAGTGCCCGCGTAGCTTAATTTTTGCCTGCGGCTCCGCCACGTGCCGTTTCGACCCCGCAAATAGGCGCTCGCTAACGGCGCTCGACTCGGCGATTTCTATCCAGGCTTTTGCCGGTCATGACCCCACGATGTAACGGAGGCGTGACCTCGCCGTGACCTGCGGCGTTGAGACCGGCGGATTTATAGTCCGCTCGGAAGCGGCCTCGCAATTCTCTCCGTATGCGCATGCGGCGCGTAACAACTCCTGTTGCCGTTGGATTTGACTTGAGGCTTAAATCGCACGAAAAAAGACAAAGCACCGAAGGTTCCCGAGATCAAATCCACTGGGAGAATCCTGGGTTTGAATCCGGGCAACAGCTTGCGATTAAACTGGGCTCTCAAGTGCACTGAGAGTTGATGATGGTCTCAGAATCAGAATCGTTCTTTACAATGGAGGAATCCAAAGAGCTATGAAGCTTTTTTTCACAGATGACCAGCTGTTTCACAAATATCCAATAAACATGCCTCAACCTGGTCACCAATGACTGCACACGAAAAAAATCAACCATCACATTTATTTTGGTTGTGCATTTCCTTTGGATATATTCCAGCACGGATAATTAAAATCTCAGTATGGCTCGCACATGCAGCGGCGGGTGGGGAGATGTGTTCCTCTCCGATCTGTGAAGAGAGGTCAGAGGTGGCTCTGTGATATTCCCTTCTGTGGGATGGTTTACTCACAGAACATGTTTTGCACTGCTGTCCCAGAGTTCCAAATAAATGGAAGGATCCCGAGTTTAGCCACACAGTCTGCCGGGTTAAAGGGCTCTCTTTTTGAGTTCACTAGACGGCACTTGGCGGAAACGGTAGAGAGAGGTAGGGGGATTGATGTGGCCAGGACTACGCATGCCTGGCCACCTTTGTACCCACGTTGTTGGTGTTCTCTGTACCGTGCCAGCGCTTTATATTTGGTTAAATTGACTGGGGGGGTGGGGGCGGTGCGGGGGGCGGGCTGGCGAGCGGGGGAAGTCCTTGGCCAGATTCGGATGCCATATGCCCATTTGTGTGGTCATGCCAAGAAGTGTACAGGGGTTGTCAGGTTCGAAGCACAGAGTGTGCCAACGTCTATGCCTGCCGCATGCCATGCCAGCGCACCGGCACAAAGAATCCCCGCTCGGAAAAGGATGGCTCGTATAGAGACGAGTGTTTTTTGAGCGAGCACCTTTTTTTTTGACGTGGCCGAGAGCCATTAGAGAGACCATTTTTGTGAGGGGAGTATGGGTGGGGTGGGTGGTGGGGGAGGCAGCGGTGTATGTTATTTTTCTTTGCTTCGTGTACATTTGATTTTTATTCGTGTATTTTAAAGAATGCTTCCGGGAGAAATTCGCCGGTGCAAAATTGTAATGGGGATCCGCTGCAGTTGTTTGTTCCCACCCCCCACCACCACTCCCTCTTGTTATGACTGATTGTAGCCAGTGCCCCACGGGCATAGCTACCATTATCACTGACCACATGGTGTGCTTTTGTCTGAGACGTGTTACACAACATCCACGTCGCTGCGAAGCTGTGATTCACGCACACACACTATTCTGAGGTTCATAACAGTCAATTTATCCATTTCGTCTATGTGTGTGTGTGTGCGTGCTGGGTGGCCTCCCCGATAATCGCGTGCCGCTAATTGCACCCAGCTGCTATGTGCCGGCCACGCACAAAGCTCGCTCTCTAAAGCGTTGGTCATCAGCAAACCACTGGAACCCCACTTTCAGCTCAAGTCCGATCAGCCTTTCGAATTGTATACGAATTCCACCCCTCCAGCCAGTGCATTTTGCTGTTTGTGTATTTATTGTTTCGGCTACGCCGTGGGACATTGTGAGATGAGGCCAATTTAATTGTGTGTACGCGGTTGATTTATTTCAATGCACCAGAGTTTTTGTTTCTTTAATCTCTGAACATGTGTTTTCTTCCATTTGTGTTGATATATATATCCTTTAAAAGCCATGCGCTAGATTTAGTTATTTTCCATCTAATGCCCAGTGACATAAATGTTTTGAACATGATTTGTTACTCTAAAGGCCTTGAAATCTTCACGGCGGTGCCAGTTCTTGATGTAAACTGGTTTAATTAAGGGTCACTGAAGTTTAATTAGCATTTAATCCTTTTTGGGTTGAAACGTTTTAATTCCGTTATTGCTCGGCATATGGAAAGTGTGAGGTGACTGGTTAAGTCCATTTGGTATTTTTATAATACCAAAAAGTGTTTAACATTTGCAGTGAGATGCTTATTCATTGCGTCACTTGCACATACATTGGGAACGTTTCTCACAATGTTGACTATTGGATTTCATTTGACAATTTTTCTCCCCACATTACTAAAAAGCCACCGTACCATTTTAATAGCCTTAAAGGCAAAAAGTGCACATCTTTGTTTTGTTCTCTCGAATGCAAATGCTCTTTTGTTTAATGATTGTTAATATTACTGCCGCCCTTTTAACGGCTTTCCCGGCTGGTAAAGGGTGTGTTCACATTCTGGTTGTAATCACCGTTCATACACAACACTTAATGTTTGTACCTCCATTGTCCGTGCTTGGTTTACTAAACCACTATGTGCCGGCCACAGCGATTATCAACTCATAATTTTAAAAAATCCATATGTGAAGGCTTGTTTTGAACATGATTTTCACGACATTGTTTTCGTGACCCACCAAGCGTACATAATTTTTTCCGCTGCACAATTTTTTTTTTTTTACAAAATACTGTCACGCAGTGTAACGGTCAGCACACTGCAGTTATAATCCGGAGGTAGCCGGGTCAATTCGATCTCCCGGCGCGTGGCAGTTAAAACGATTCTGCAAGTTTATTTAAACACCCCCTCTCACCCCATCCTCTCCAGTGTTCTGTTAAGCTTCTTGAACCGCCGTGCACCATGGTCACAATTTACAATTTTCGCGATTTCACAATTCGTAAGACCTCAACGAATCGAAGGCGGCAGTTTACGCGTGGAATCTATGCTTCAAGAGCGTTTTCAAAGTCCAGTGACTTGAGATGAAATCTCAACCCTTTAGTGACCTACTAACACGATGATGATGCAAATCAGAGATACTGCTCATCATGGGCTGCAGTATGTACATATGTGCTATGAACTTCATTCACACCGTACGTAGCCAACCCAGCTAATAGGAGGTGATGGTGATGTATGTGAATTTTTTTGCGCCACGTGTAGCCAACCGGGCTAACCGGAGGTGCGCGAGTTGCTTTATTTAGTATCGTGACTGCAACAGCGCGGTTGCCACTTAGTTGTGCGCACGTGCAAACTCGTCGCTTGGTCACGTGTAAACCACGCAACTCGCTTTTTCAGGTGACGCACTTCCGCCAGCTGTACACCAAGGTCATCAGCGACAAGCACGACGACGTCATGGCCAAGTTCGGTGCCATCCTCGCCCAGGGGATTCTGGATGCCGGTGAGATGCGGGAGCGCGTCGTGCGTGAGCGCGCATTGGTGGTTTGTTACGATAGGGGGTGTACTCGGTCTTGCCGAAGACCTCGGTACCAGTGGTGTCAGGATCGGCCTCTGGAGGAGGCTCGTGAAGTACTCAACTGGGCAGTTGGGAGGCAGTCGTCCTCCCAACAACGGCAGAGGGCAGAGGAGTGATGCTCACAACAACGGTGGGCTAAAATGCAGCAAGTTGGCACAGCAGGGACCACGGTAGTGCATTTGCTAGTCATCTCGGTCAACCTATGGCACTTGGGTCTGTCCCGTGACCCCTCCTGTCATCGAGCCTTCGACATTTCACGTGGCCTCCCAGTGCGCCTGGCCTGGCACAGGCGCCGTTGTGACGTCGCCGCCACTTGGTGACGAAAAGGGGCTGTTGTCGTTGCTGTACTAGCTATTGAGTGTGCTGGCGGTGCAACTGCACAGGGGCCGTACTCCAGTCGCACTCCGCCACTGGGGCTGTGCTGCCTCAAAGCACGCGGCACTGGGAGCCGTGCATCGTCACCTCGCACTAGTCAGGTTCGGGCTTTGTATGGCACTGGTACCGGTGGGGTCGGTTCGACGACGTGGAATTGGGAGGCCCACCTTAGACATCACCGGTGTAGGGGAAATAGCAGACCAGGTAAGTTGTTGACCTGTCCTTGCCTGTGCAGTGCTCATGCCTCCTAAGTGGATGCTGCTGGGGCGCCTGTTAAAAGATTGCACGATAAATTTAAGTGAATGTGTAAAAAAAAAATGAGATGAACTGATGCAATTAAGTAAATGACATAATTTTTACCTTTAAACTATAAACGATGGCACTTTTGCTTCCCTATGACAGCTTGTGTTCATTAAGCTGAAACTTACAATCAGCTTTTTATTTTTATACAGATATCTCTTTTGTCACCAAGATGTATATACCGTGGATCGTTTGAAAACACGCGCACACACCGGTCCCCGATGGGTTATTTGGAGATGCACCGTGACATTTCCTTTCATGACGTGGCCTTCACTCACAGACTGACAGAGCCAGTTTCCATTGGGTTCATTGGACAATGAACCCTTGTACGCCGGGCCGATCCGCAGCGCCTTTGTGCACTCGACGGACAGACCCCAGTCGACGGCACTACCAATTCAGTCGCTTCGGCACGTCGGCGTATTTTATTCAAAGACTAAAATCCCATGGCCATCTGTGTTTTGCTGTTGTTGTTTTGCTGAAAGTTCGTTCGTTTGCGTTTTCATTTTGAGCAACGTTCACTTTTTTTAAGTCTTGCGTGGCTGGGGCAAGACTCCCTCCCCTCCCCCTCCATTGGTATCCAACCTTCGAAGTCCTTCAGCAGTTTGGGAGCACTCGGCAGGATTTGGTAAAATTAGCGGTGTTGCTTGTCAACTCCCCCAACTGCCTCCTCCAGCGCGCTGCTCTTGTTAGCCATCGGTAAACAAAGCCACGTGCGTTTACACTGAACAATGTTGTTTTTTTTTACCGCCAGGTAAGAGCCCCCCCCACTGATTTATTGTAGCTCGTTTTCAGAAGCGACCTGACCATCGCAAATGATAGCTCAACTGAAGTGGCTTATCGCGTGGAAATTTGTAGCGGCCAAATACTCGAAATGCCTTCACGTTGATTCTAAATGTAGAGGGAAAAATCGGAGACCCGGAGAAAATTCCAAGTGACCGCGGTGAGAATGTAACATCTCCAAATATGCAGGGATTAGCATCAGGATCGAACCCACGATCTCCTGTACACCAGGCGAGGTAGTTAACATCTCGCCATCGTGGCACCCCAAAATCACCCCCCCCCACGCTTTCTTTCCCACTTCCTACCTTCCACCCCACTGTGTTTAACCCTTAAGCAAGCGTCAGATGTGTCGGAAGCCTGGTAGAGATTTCGCCGCGCACTTCACTAGAGCTCCCCCCCCCCCCCGTGCTACTTGCTCAGCGCAATGTCCGATGCTTCACTCCGCAAGGAATGCATTTTCCTGAAGAAGCTCATCGTCACGGAGTTAATCCGCATAGTCTCGTATTATATCACTTTTTTGCGCAGTTAATTAATGGCTTGGACGAGGCCACATCGGTCTCAGTTGACTCGTGTGAGCCTGCTCTCCAAAGCCCAGGTGGGATCTTGGAGCTATGAAACGGTTGTCTGAATGTTGCTGGTTCATCACTCCGATATGGGTACAGAATAGTGCTTCTCTTCGTGTCACAATTCTTAATTTGTTTAAGACTTTTTGCTCATTCCTATAACAGTCGGCGCTTGTGGGATGCGTTGAGGTTCATTTTAAAGTTGACGTGACATTGATTAGCGAATTACCATCCTATTTAACTTCGCCCCCGTCTAATTTTATAACTGTGTGCAAATCAAGAGTAGTTTTTATACACCTTGAGTTTACGGCATTATAATGTTGGCGTCGTGGAGCAATATCGCGTCGTAGAACTTACGGACGTGGCTTTAGATGGAATTGAACTCTCAACTGAATGCAAACTTTTTGATTTAAAGCTTTCGTGACTGCAGGGATTCATATTTTTGGTTCTTTCGGTAAAGTCACGTAGAAGGGTGTGGTTTTCACACCTGATGATGATTGCTTGTGTTGCAATCGAAACGTCGTGAGAATTTTATTGTTTCATATTTTTATTATTTAGTTGTTTCCCTTCTACGTGCCTTTACCGAAAGAACCAAGAATATGAATGCAAATCGCCTCTGGCAGTCTCCGAATTGTACGTTACGTATAACCGTTTCGCGCCGCGCGTGAACGTTTTTGGGATAAAGACTGCACCAAGTGGATAATAGTTATAGGCATTCCATTCATCTTCGTAGATTATTATTCGTAACCTTTTGAACTTGTATAGGATTTTTTTCTCGCAAGAACGGGTGCTTATTGATGCGATGAAGGTCCCTTTCTGTTCGGGAGCTTTATTTAAAATGTGCGTTTAGTTCGTTGTGTTTAGATTGTTGTCCCCCCCCCCCCCCGCCCTGTCGCACCTATTAGCATGGTTCGTTACGTACAGTGCGAAAGAGGTTCCAACATACGTACGCACGTTAAAATGCATTCGATCGCTCGGCATGCTCGGAGATTTGATGGAAGTTCCAGATGCCCGCGGAGCCAAAAGCGAAAGCGGCGTGAAAGCGTAGAGGGAGATAATCGATGCTTGTTGAGGCTTTAGATTCCTGTTTTGCTGCCCTTCCCCCCTCACCTCTGATTATCATGTTTGGATATGTACGGCGCGAAAGAAGTTCAACGTACCTACACACGTAGTTCCATTCCTGTTGCAGGTGGCCACGTGCCCATCCTATGTCACCTTTACATTGATGTTGTCTGTAGCAGCGCTGAGCACCTGCTAGGCTTGCGATAATTAATCTTCCTGCGATTCGATGAATTGCCACAATTCAGGGTCACGATTTGACTCGGCGATCAATCTTAGCCCAGGTTTGCGCCACCATCGCTTGTACCCTCTCGCCGCATGTCTTGGTGGTTTTCTTTTTCGTCAGCCTAAAGGTGAACGTGTGCGCGCGATTTGCACGGACCGTAAAACAATCGATTCTTTACGATGAATGCGCGTATTCCGGTGCGAGCGAACGAACGTTCCACCTGTGAATCCTTGCATCCAACCAAAGTCTCGCCCCCTATTAATTTCCACACACGGGAAAAAACAAATACCACCGGAGAAAAGGGCCGTCTGCTGTAAAGCAATTGGATCCACTCGTGTGCAGGCGCTAGATAGATTGTTACTTCCCCCGAATCTTGAGAGATGGCATTGATTGAGGCCGGCGATGGAGAGATGATAGCGATAGTGTGCCAGCATGTGTCTCGCCTTCAAGCCGATTACTTTTTTTTATTGAAACTATAACACAGGCCGTTGCGCGCGCCACCTTGGCCGTATAATGTCACGAGCTTGGGACTCGCCAGTCCCGAGTCGTCACACTGCATGTATTCAAGTGAATTACGCTGTGGTAGCGCCATTGCAAGGAGACGGATACGCGTGCGGATTACGTTTGATTAAGCGCGGGGTGGCGCTGATGCTTGCGACGTGCGCCTCGTGGTCCAGCGACACGAGGTCGTGCTTTGCGAGATGACCCGCCAAGCAAGCAGTACGGCAAGAAGGCTCGCTCTCAAAACGCCAAGCGGGCTAGCAACAAACAAAAAGGGGATCTGTTGAAAGTGCAATAGATGATGTTAATATCTTCTTGGTTCTTTCGGTAAAGTCACGTAGAAGGGAAGTAATAAAATAATAAAAATAATGTTTTAATTTTATTTTTATTATTTTATCACTTCCCTTCTACGTGACTTTACCGAAAGAACCAAGAAGATGAATCCCTGCAGTCACGAAAGCTTTAAATAAAAATGATGTTAATATGTTCACCGGTATATAGGTGGATCATGTCCAGGCACTGCGATTTCCCCGTGCCGTCATCGTTTAACATCTCACAAGTGAATTTCATTGCTTCACAGCAAGCAAGCCTCCGAGTGGGTTTTTTTTATTCATTCACCGTCATCATCAAGGCAGCAGCCATGATCTATCCGCTGCCGGATGAGGGCCTGCCTGAGGACGCCTCCATCCCTGGCTGTCCCAATGAGCAACGATCCGTCAAGTATAGGAGTTCCAAGACTCGCTATGAGTCGGCCCACTCTTAGCTTGGCTCCGTCGTCGCTACGAGCCGGCCGCGGTGGGACGTTCCTCTCAGCCGTGCTCTGTTCTTTTTAAATCCTTTATATTAAGTTCGCTTGCTTGCTTAGGACCGTGCAAATCTTTCGGTCGTTTTTTAACCCACTTCCCGTGATCCAATCGAGCTGACACTTTGCACACAGACTCGTTGTGCGTGACAATTAATTTTCGTTAAAAATGTTTTCCAAAATTTTACACTGTTTAGGGGAAAAAAATACATTATTTAATTACCAATTGTTTAATGCTGCCAGACAATCATCTGACCCATAGGTGGCAACCATCTCAAGCCAGAGAACGAGAGGACTCTAGCCACCCCGATGCCACGCA